TGTTTGACTAAGATTTTCTTATCCAATGATTTTTGTTTTAGATGTTAATTATCAAATATTAGTCGTATTCATTTCAATATTAACTATTATTTAGATGGGTAATCTATTAAGTTATTTTTCTGGTTTATTTGGTAATAAAGAACGACGTATACTTATATTGGGTCTTGATGGAGCAGGTAAAACAACAATACTTTATCGTCTTCAAGTTAGTGAAGTTGTTACAACCATTCCAACAATTGGTTTCAATGTTGAAACAGTACAATATAAAAATTTAAAATTTCAAGTTTGGGACCTTGGTAAATAGCATAGAAAAAAAAAATTTTTTTTTTTTTGTTTTTTTATCTAAAAATATATTACACATATTATACAGGTGGTCAAACATCAATTCGTCCTTATTGGCGTTGTTATTATTCAAATACAGATGCAATTATATATGTTATTGATTCTATGGATCGTGATCGTATTGGTATATCAAAACATGAACTTGTATCAATGCTTGAAGAAGATGAACTTAAAAATGCTGTTTTATGTGTATTTGCTAATAAACAAGATCTTGAAGGTTGTATGAGTGTAAGTGAAGTAGCAAATGCACTTGGTTTAACATCATTAAAAAATCGTAAATATCAAATATTTAAAACATCAGCTATTAAAGGTACTGGATTAAATGAAGCTATGGATTGGTTAGCAAATTCATTGCAACAAAAGAAATAAAATTTATGACATTTTATAAATATGAAACATGCTTGTTTTGTTTTTTAGGCCAATTTATATGTTTTTGGTTGTTGTTTTTACTAATATAACAAACTAAAAGTTTTCATCTTTTAGTTGTGTTTTACATATATTCATTTCATTTTTTTTTCTTTCTTTACTGTTTTTTTTTTTTTTTTTTTTTTTGAGTATCATACAATGTAAACATACGTAAACTACATGTTCACTGTCGTTGTTTTGCTTTTATTCAAATTATTAAAAAAATAAATCAAAAAAAGGCCTGGCTGTTTTTATCCTTCGTGGATTATCAATATTGTTAGAATACTTCTTCGATTTTTTTTAGAGAAGATATTAATTAAGACTTGTTTTAGCTTAATATAATTAAGATTGTTTTTTTTGTAATTCATTTCATTTATGAATGATAATAAATAGAAGACAATATAAAAAAAAATATATATAAACTTGATTCAATCCTTCTATTGCATGATTCCTTTGTTATATACCTTCCATGTGAATGAATCATATTGTATATTATTTTTAATTATTTATTTATTTATTCTGAAAATAAAAAATTCTAATTAATTTTTGCATTTGTGTTGTGATCATCACTTTTTTTTTTGAATATTACAATAGCAATAATGTATCATAACAGTCTGAACAGATTCATTCGTTATGTAAAGGTTAACATCAATTTAATTCTTTTCATATTAATCATGTGATCGATATAATTGAAGGATTATAATGAATGATTTGATTTTTAGTTGATATCCATTGGATTGAAAAATGTTTTTTTTTTATGCAAGAAAACTGTAAAAAATTTGAATAAATCTTAATTGAAATTCTAAATTATATTCTGTATTTGATATTCGATGAATGGCAGTTAATATACAAATATGATCTAGGATAATGGTTACAGTCGCTGAGACTGTTAAATACGTTACTCTATACTGTCGTCGATAGCTGTAAATTGACGTCTGGTGAGCGAAGTATTATGACTGTATTTTATCGTGCTGTACACAGTAGATAGCGATCTGAAAATCGAGTATCCGACGTGTATAATACAGTGAAATCTGCTCGTAATACTGTGCCAGCTAGACGGTGAAAGTATCATCTAAAACGACTGCACTTTACTTGACCTGGACTGTAAAAGTTGTGCCCATTTTCAACGAATCATTTAAACTTTTTTTTATAAATTATAGTAAAAGATAAAGAACTAAAAACTGAACAAAATAAGCTACTTCAATATAACACAGTGTAGATCAAGTCAAGTTTGATGAGGCCAGCATAAATGAAAAATGGTCTAAAACGTCCATTTGATAACAATTTATTTCTTGTCGAAATTCAGAATTGGAGAGTTTTAAGTTGAATTTTGTATGTTATGCAACTTTTTATTCTTTATGGAATGATAAAAAAAATTTTGTTAAATAAATGGTATGTTCGGAGCGATATGTGATTCACATCTCTTTCTTATATAATGATTTTTTAATAGAAAAAGAAAGCATTTTTTTTTTACCAATTTTCATTGACATGCTATCGATTATTAACTCTTTCAGGACGGGTGGTATACCGTACGTACCACAGTTATTTATTTTTAACAGTGAAGTATATTATACATTGACGACTAGAAATGGTTGCGTATGCATTCGAGTATACATACACTGGTGTTATACATCTGCTATGAGCATACGCAACCATTTTTAGTCATCAATGCATAATATGCTTCACTATTAAGAACAAATGACTGTGGTACATACGGTGTACCATCCGTTCTGAAAGGGTTAAGTAAACTTCAAAAAAAACAATTAAATCATATTTTTGATTTGTCATTTATACTAAATTTTTAATTAAATTAATCCAATTCTTAGGCAGATAACTGCTATGACAATTTATTTGTTTCATATGTTCTCATTCGATTGTTCATCATGAATACTAAAATTTAAGGTTGATCAGTACAAGCAAAAAAGACAACCGATTCGTTTGGAATTTATTGAGAGAAAATGTTATTTCGATTTACATTTACTTCATAAATTCTGTAATTTTTTTCAAACAAATCCAAAAAATCTTACGAAATATTTTCCAATTCAATCAGCTATTCAGTCTCTGAAAATTTATTTCATGCATTTTAATATTCTGGATACTGAAACATTTTATCAATTCAATTCAATATAACTCATGATTTGAATTGATAATTTTTGAAATAAATTGTCTATTTGCTAAAATTGTTGATAGACTGTTATCTATTCCTTTGCACACGACAATATTTCAGTAACAATTAATCAAATATTAGTATGAGAAAAAAGTATGAACGAATGGTAATAAATTGTAAAATAGTTTTGTACCTCGGCACTACATAACTGTCTTGATATGTTTGAATCGAACTGAAGAAAAGAGGGAAGCATCATTTGGAGTGTTATGAAACATTCATTTTCTTGGCTCCTAGCTTCTATGTGAAGTGATCCTATTGACTTTAGTTCACATAATTGGTTCATGTCTGCGAACCTTGTCATCCTTTTACTGTGTACCATAGCACCATATGGCATGACATATTTATATTGACTTTTTATCTCAGCAGAAATTGACATTTTCATGACAAACCATATTTAGTTTAATAAAAAAGTCAGTAGAAAATTGCTGAACAAGAATAAACTACTTGAACCATAGTTTTTATTTTTTAAAGAATCATAGTCAAGTGTAGGTTTTGATGAAAATAACCTGTTACCGCCAGTGTCGGGCAACTCCGCTCCGATTTTGAAAAATTTTGCTCAAACTCCAACTCCGGGTAACTCCGCTCCAATTTTGAAAAATTCCGCTTAAACTCCAACTTCAACTCTATCTATGTACCGCTCCACACTCCATGTAACTCCACTTCTATTTTCATAAAAGTGCATCACCATGGCAACTGGTCCCATTAGCCCCTTAATCAACTCTTTCTTCCGTTGACGCTAGCACTACAGGAACTGGTTGCCATAATGACGCATATTTTTAGTTAAGTTAATTGTTATTACATCAAATGATGAATGCATTTACATTCAGGTTGTTCGCCAATAATGAAGAATCACAAAGATATGCGTTCGATGCACTGAATTGTTTAACAAATAATATTTAAGCATGCCACCAATCACTTTCTAAATTTTCTCTATTTTTCTCTCTCTCTCTCTCTCCATGTAATAATACAAAGTCATTCATTCCTAGCTTTCTTAATTGCGTCATGAATATCATACGCTTGCACGTGTTTTCACTGTCGACTTTTTGCCGTTCTCTTCCGGCAGGTTATAAAATAAACCGGAGTTATATCGGAGTTGGAAAAAAGACATCAAATCCAACTCCGCTGCAACTCCGCTCCAGACCATTTCAACTCCACTCCAACTTCATCCACTAATTGTAAAATCTCACTCCAACTTCGCTCCAACTCCACTTCAAACTTTGTCAACTCCACTCCAACTCCGCTCCAACTCCACTTCAGATTTACTGCAACTCCACTACAACTCTAATGAAAAAAGCCGTCAACTCCTGAGTTTACTCCAACTCTGAGTTGGAGTTGTCCAATATCAGTAGTAATCAACTTTGCCGATAAAATATCAATGTGTTTTTTTTAAATTGTTTTAAAGTCTTTAATATGTAAAACTAAATCGATCATTGATTAGTGTCTGTTAAAGAATTTATTTTCTTTTTCATCAAATATCAACACTATTGCTTTTATGATATAATAAAGAAGAAAAATATACGACGACAGTCAAAATGGATGAACTAATAAATGATATTTCTCATGAATTGAAACAATTACAGATAGATAGTGAAGTACTAACTACGATACGAAAAGAAAAACATTACCTTACTATTAGTAGTGCACATATCAGTACTCTAATTTTACACTTTCCTTTGACTGCTTCACTCTTTGACCTTAAAATTTCAACTAATGTTGTTCGCTATGCAAATCTCTTATTTTTGTCTGCATAACTACAATTGAGAACAGTACTAAAATGATTGATTTTTACCTATAGTTGCTATTCAATGGTTTCATGATTGTGGTTGTTAAGATTTGTAATGATGAGCCACAAAAGTTCGACTTAAAACTTATACTGACTATTTTCTTCGCAAATATATTCCACAAAAAAGATGATATGATTAATTAATGAAGAAATATAGAAGTAGAAAAATTCGTAGTCATTATATATTATTTTGGATATAAATGAAAACGAAATTACAAAACAAATAAACAGCTGATTTTATTAATTTCAAAGTATTTATTAATATATACATAAAGATAACAAATAATAATATTATTATAAAGTTCAACAGTTCTTTTTTATCGATGTTTGATCGCAACAACCTAATTGACAAGCTTCACATAGTGCTTTTTCATGAGGACCTTCAATATTGTTCGCTTGTTGGTCGTTTTTTATTGGTTTTGTTAATCGTTCTTTACCATAACAAAACCATCCAATTCTTTCATAAAGTTTTTCTAAAGTTGATTCAATCCAATCTTCATCAAATTCTGGATTAACAAAATAAATTTTATTACGAGAACATTTTCTACATTGTTGTCCAAAAAATCGTAAAGTAATTCTTCCGAGTGGTTCATTAGCATTCGGATAATATAAAACTACTTTAGCTTTAGCTGAGGCCCAACTATTCCAACATTTTGAACAATAAAATCTATAAAAAAAAAAAAAAAAAAAAAAATATCGATAAAATAGAATTAACTGATATACTTGGCGTATCCAGTTCTTTCCATTCTACGTTTATTTTTAAGGTTTTGATTTTGAATTTTATCATTTCTATGAACATAAGTTAATGTCCACTCATCAGAATAACCATCAAATATATCATCAAATAAAGTTCGCCATTCGATAAATGACATTTTGATTATAAACTTTTTTTTTTTATAAATGAATATGATGAATTAATTTTCATACAGTAGTATACACACGTATATATATATATGCTCGGTTCTTTTTTCCCATTGTGGGCTTTTTCAGTGTGACAAAGTAAAAATAAACAGTAGTTATCAGAGTTTTAAAGAAACAGAAAAAAAATTACCTAAACAATAAACTCACTTTCACTATTTTATGATAAAAAATTTTTATCAGTGAAGTTGTCACAAAATGTCTGTTGTTCGATCGATAAAACATCAAAAATCAAAATAGTAATACACAAATTAAAAAGATTAATACAATGAATTATATTAAAATGTATTTCTTTTCTTACATAAACACAAATTCATATTAAGATCAGTTTTTTGAAATGGAACAATAAAAAAAAAATGTTATCAATGATATTCATATCAAAATTAATAATATAAAAATTCTAAAGAGCATATTTTATACTTCAAGGTGACATTTATTTTGTAGAACATTGAATTAGATCGTTAATTCCGAGCCATACTTACTACGTATGAGTACGTGCAGGCATTCTATATTACATCAAATATATTTGATCTATTCTTACAATAATCATTGACATATTCTGATAAAGTAATTCTTGAGTTTTTCATCAATATTTATATACATATAATTATACAATAAAGTCAAAGTATGATAATTAATAATATGCTGGAGATAAGTTTATTGGCATTAGTATCATTCGTTCGTTTCTTCATACTTTTTTCGTCTTATTAGGTCTTGAAAGTAAGGCAAGCATGTTTATGTGATAAAGAAAGAAAAAAAATAGACGATCATGCCAGTCTGGCCTCATTTTTATTTCCCTATGCGCAACAGCAATGTGAATGGGACTGTATTTTTAAGGTATATATATGTTGTGGTCAAAATTCAAATTCAGTCAAATTTAAAATTTGACTGAATTTTCTGGGCAAATTTTAAATTTGGCTGATTTTTTGACTAGGCAAATTTTAAATTTGCCCAGATGATTCGTCAAATTTTAAATTTGACTGAATTTTAATTTTGACCACAACATATATATATATATATGTTGTTTGCATTTCAATATACACTTTAAGTGAACTATTCGACATGATAGATAGCTTAGAAAGTCTGCCGATCTTCTACGTTCTTGCTACCTTTAGTTTTTAACATTCATTTAAGAATCTATGCATTTATTTTGATATTGCCCTTTGAAACATGTACCGAAGCACGATATAGAAAAAATCACTAGGATGAAAACAACACGTATTACACTATTGTCTTTTTATCATTTTTTTCTTATTCTTATAACATTTTGATGATATTCTTCTTTCTGATTATGACTTGCACCTTGTCCTTGGTGTTTGCTTCCCTCTGATACTGTGTATATGGCTGTATATACGCGTAAATTTTATTCTCATAAAAGCAAAACAAAAGAAAAATAAAAGTATTTGTTTCTTTAGTACATCATATTTGCTTTTTTTTTATATTCGAATGACGACGCAGTTTGATAAAGAAAAAAAAAAGCAACAGAAGAATGAAAAACGTTTATTAGATATGAGAAACAGATTTAATATAGTCATTCTTTTTTAAAATTTTTTAGACGACACACACACATCCCATCTAAGCCCTCAAACATGGAATCAGACAATGCACACGGGGAAGTGTTTCTATTCACATCAGAATCAGTTGGTGAAGGACATCCTGGTAAGTAATTAACTATGTTTAAAAATTAATTCAAATGAAATGAAGAAATTAAAGTGCTGTTTTTTTTTCTATATATATATATAAAATCAGTTTCAAAATAAATTTTATTTCTATTAAATAGATAAAATCTGTGATCAAGTTAGTGATGCTATACTCGATGCTTGTTTAGAGCAAGATCCAAATTCTAAAGTTGCCTGTGGTAAATTTTCTGATTCATAGATTAACAATTTTGTTTATTTATTTTTTTATACTTTTTGCATTTCTTTTTAGAATCATGTACGAAAACTGGTATGGTCTTAGTATGTGGTGAAATAACAACAAGAGCTAGTCTTGATTATCAACAAATAGTTCGTGATACAGTTCGTGATATTGGTTGGGATTCATCAGATAAAGGTTTTGATTATAAAACCATGAATGTTCTTGTTGCACTTGAACAACAATCACCTGACATAGCTCAAGCCGTTCATGAAAAACGAACTGATGAAGATATTGGTGCTGGTGATCAAGGTTTAATGTTTGGTTATGCAACTGATGAAACTGAAGAATGTATGCCATTAACTGTCGTACTTTCTCATCATCTTAATGCTAAGATGGCTGAATTAAGACGTAATGGTCAATTAGATTATCTTCGACCAGATTCAAAAACTCAAGTAAATAGAAATAAACAAAAGAATATTATTATCATCAAAAAAAAAAACCCAAAATGTCTTTCTCTTTAGGTTACTGTTGAATATAAATTTGATAAAGGTGCATGTATTCCTCAACGTGTTCATACAATTGTTATATCAACTCAACATAGTCCACAAGTAACACAAGAACAATTACGTGATGATCTTCTTAATAAAGTTATTAAACCTGTTGTACCAAAAGAATTACTTGATGATACAACAGTTTATTATTTAAATCCATCGGGTAAATTTGAAATTGGTGGTCCACAAGGTGATGCTGGTTTAACTGGCCGAAAAATTATTGTCGATACATATGGTGGATGGGGTGCTCATGGTGGGGGTGCATTTAGTGGTAAAGATCCATCGAAAGTTGATCGTTCAGGAGCTTATGCTGCTCGTTGGGTCGCTAAATCACTTGTCAAAGCAAAACTTTGTCGTCGTTGTCTGGTGCAAGTATCTTATAGTATAGCTATCGCTGAACCATTATCTATTGCTGTTTTTTCTTATGGTACTTCAAAAAAAACAGATAAAGAATTACTTGAAATAGTTAAAAGAAATTTTGATCTTCGTCCAGGTATTATTATTCGGTAAGTTATTTATATATATAATAATTTTTATTTTTTAATCAATAATTGTTTTTTTTTTTTGTCATAGGGATCTCAATTTAAAAACTCCAATCTATAAGAAAACAGCATGTTATGGACATTTTGGTCGATCAGAATTTCCATGGGAACAAGCTAAACAACTTAAATCATGATAATTTTAAAAGAAAGAAAAAAAACACAACATTCAATTTTTCTTCATTATTTGTTTTTTTTTCTTGTGATAAAATGTGTGTGTTAATCCATCGTTATTGATTAAAGTTTTTTTTTTTTCATTGTATTAACGAAACACACCATATTATCAATGTACTAGTTTACTAAGAGGAAAAAAAAGATATTAAGCAATAGATATTTATTATTTTAATATAATATCTTTAATTTAATATCATTTATGATTATATTTAGATAATAGATTTCGTGAGTCAATTTAATAATAGTCTCTTGTGATTATGTTGCTAACCATTAAAAATTTTTTTAACTCAAACTCAGGGGAAATCATATTTTAATATGTTAAAGTTATGTATTAATCGAAAAAAAAAAAAGCAAACATTCTAAGTATGACTCATTCATGAATTGAAATATATATATTGGACAATATAGATTAGAAGTGTATTATTCTATTGATATGTGATCAAGACAATTATGATTACTTATTCAATAGAACTGCGCGGACTGAAGTAAGAAATGCAGGTGTAATATTCTCCCATAAGTTAAATTTTTTTGTATTTTTTTTCTTCGACGGAACTAGAAAATTTTTCTCCCTTTAAGAAAAAAAAAAACAACAGATGGGACAATACTCCAAATTTAACTATGTCGGGCGTATCCTGGTTATCAAGTACTTTTTCTGACTCATTTTTTAAAAAATTTGTATTACATTATAAGACAAACTTATTTGAATGAAATGTTTTATACATTAAATCTAATCGAAATTCATAGGTATAATATTGATTACTTCATTAAATGAATGTATGGAGAGGAACATGAAAATAGGAATCTATTGAGGATTATCATGAATACACAAATTTTCTATAGTATGATTAATAATGTATTTCCAATATGTAGAACTATAATGATTCTTATCTAATAGTTTTTGAATGAAAAGAAAACAAAATAATCATTATCATTCATGTCAATTTTTTTTGTCGAGCTATTTTTAGTTTAATATAAGCCAAAACAATGAATGATCATTCTCTAAACGATATAGATTGAATTTAGTATTTGATAGATAAACGAAATATTATGCATTACATATTTAAAAACAAAAAAAAAACAACTTATAAAATATTTTTCATCAACATATAAATTCAAGAAGGTTTTTATCTTTATTTAGCAACACAACTAAGCAATCAATCAATTGACAAAATCTTTATTTATACTCATATCTGATGAATACATTCGGTTGAATACATCTATCAATCTTGTTATTATTGGTTTAGTGTTGAAATGATAATTATGAGTAATGTATCTTTATTCAAACGTGCTATTGATAATAAGCGTTGACAAACAACGTGATACAGTGTTTTTTTTTTCTGACGAATATAAATCATGCAGACATATAAGGTCAAATACAAACAGATGACAAATAATACTGAATGATACGTACTATAATTTTAATGAATCAATTACTATTGTAAAAGAACGACAACATTGATATATATATATATATATATATATATATACAACATCGTTTAGTTTAGAATTTCAATTTTGAATATTTGAGGTCGCTATAAGTCGTTCTCATCTTTTACTCTTATTTTTGGTTTGATGATAAGAATCAACAAGTGATAAATAATGTCAATCGTTATTGGTTAATGACACAATGGTTTTACTCTCTCTCAAACATCTATATAAAATGAATATAGAAAACAATGGTTTTTAAACGAGCTATTTATATTGTTGCCGCTCGTCGTACTCCATTTGGTACTTTTGGTGGTAAATTAAAAGATTATACAGCTATACAATTACAAGAATTTGCTAATCGAGCTGTTTTTAAACAAGCAAAATTATCACCTGATGCTATTGATAGTACTATCATTGGTAATGTTTCTCAAACATCCACATATGCAATTTTTTTAGCTCGTCATGCTGCATTACTTGCTGGCGTACCAATTCATGTTCCAGCATTAACTGTTAATCGTCTTTGTGGATCAGGTTTTCAATCGATTATAAATAGTGGACAAGAAATTGAATTAGGTGATTCAAATATTGTTTTATGTGGTGGAACTGAAAGTATGTCACAAGCACCATATGCAGTAAGAAATGTTCGATTTGGAATAAAATTAGGTATGAATTTAAAATTAGAAGATACATTATGGGAAGGTTTAACAGATGGTCATATAAAAACATCAATGGCTATGACAGGTGATTAAGTATAACGAACGATTCTTTTTTTCAAAATCTTTATTTTAGCGGAAAATTTAGCAAAAAAATATAATATAACTCGTCAAGAAGCTGATGAATATGCTTTACAATCACAAAAACGTTGGAAACAAGCAAATGAACAAGGTTATTTTAAAGATGAAATTGAACCAATAAAAATAAAAAATAAAAAAAATCAAGATGAAATATTTGATATAGATGAACATTCACGTCCACAATCAACTATTGAACAACTTTCAAAATTACCATCTTTATTTATAAAAGATATTGGTACTGTAACAGCTGGTAATGCAAGTGGAATTTGTGATGGTGCTGCTGCAATTATTATTTCAAATGAAGATGGATTAAAAAAATATAATCTTAAACCATTAGCTCGTTTAGTTGCTTATCATATAAGTGGTGTTGAACCAACTATAATGGGTATTGGACCTGTACCAGCTATTGAAAATTTATTAAAAAAAGTAAATAAAAAAATATCTGATATTGATTTATATGATATTAATGAAGCATTTGCATCACAATATCTTGCTTGTAAAAAAGTATTAAAATTGTCAAATGAAAAAAGTAATGTTAATGGTGGTGCTATTACACTTGGTCATCCATTAGGTGCATCTGGTACAAGAATAACAGCAAATCTTGTTTATGAATTAAGACGATGTCAAGGAAAGTATGCTATTGGTGCTGCATGTATTGGTGGTGGTCAAGGCATTGCTTTATTAATTGAACGAGTTTAAATTGATAATTTTCTTATGAAATAAAATTTGATGATATTTTTGTTTTTATTTTTTTATTTTTTATTTTTAATTAATACGAAGCATTACTTTTGATTTTTTGAAATTAAAATATAATGTGTCATTGATACATTCACTTTATTTAATGATTTTTTTCTTGTCCTAATATAGTCTATCGTTTCATTGATATGTAAAACTATACAAATCATTGTGCTCATTTGCATAAAATATCTACTGTTGTCATAACGATTTTTTTTTTTACTAAAGTAAAAAGATTAAATTTTTAAATGTATGTATCGAACATATACAACGAATGTTAACAGTGAGTGTGTCTAAGAAAATCAAACACTCTAGTGTAATGATGATGGAGTAATAGCTCAGGATTTCTTGAAATTTTTGTTTTTTTGTATATGTTATAAACTGCTATGAGTTTAGTCTAAGACTATTTTTCAAAATACGAATGAACTTTTTAATGATAATTATCTTTTCATGATTTTTATCATAATTATTAATGAATTTGACTGACTATATACAAAATTTTCATTAATTAAATGCAAAATATCTCAAATAAATCTGTATTTTATTCTATGTCAATCGAGTATGTTTTATACGACAATAATAGAACATTTTTTATATTTTCATCAATGATAGAGTTCATAAAGTTCTAGTATTTAATACATTTAACAATTTGCATCCATGCAAAAACTCAATTACTTTCAATCAAAAAATCGTTTTTTTTTTTCCTGTCATTCATAAGATATATTAGAAACGTCTCGTATATTATTCTTTCTCGATTGTTTACTACTTTCTTTGTCTAGATACTTTTTTTCTTTTGTCTTTACTGTCGATGGTATGATAATAATACACAATTACTTACTAGGCCTTCGATATTTTTTGTGTTAGCAAAATATAAATAGGGTCAAAGTTCTGTACAAAATAGGATAAATTAGAAAATATTTTTTCGATTTTAACTATGAAAAATTAATTTTCATCAAAAATTAGTCTTATATTAACAATCAATATGCAAAATTGCACGAGTAAATATATGTTTCATCAGAAAAAACAAAAATTTCATTAAACTTCAACTCAAGTATTTACTTCGAATATTTTACTCTCCCCGAAAGGCAAAATTTCCATCAGCGATAAAAATATATTTTCTAAATTGAGAATATAGGATTCATTTTTGATGAAAGTTAATATTTCACAATCGAAATCTTTGTTTTATATTATTCTTTGTATAGAACTTGTTTTTCTCTATATGTTGATAACATCAGAAGTGTCCAAAGTCTGATTGAGTAGTTTTTGTGTTATCATATTGTTGACAACAAAAGAAAAAAAAACCAGCTAGAAAAAGAAAATATTATATAGAGTTAAGAAAGCATAATCCATCAGTGTCTTCGAACATATCTTATAAATATTAGGAAAAAGTCGATTCTTTTTTTTTTTTTTTTATTGAAAGTGATTAAGATTTCGTATGAGTTAAAGTTATTAAGTACATCGGACGATAGAATTCTATGATCTCTATCACCAGTATAAATACCAAAACATTCTTTTGTTATCGTATATCATACGCACGACTGACATTTTACTAACAAAATGTCAGAGAAAGTAAATTAGTACTCTGTTTAGGATATATTAGTATATTTTATATATAATTAAAGAAAATTGATAAAATTTCTTATGTAATAATTGAAAATCATTACTAATTATGATAAAAATCATGAGAAGATAATTATCATTTTAAAATTTTCATTAGTATTTCGAAAAAAAAAAAAAAAAAAAAAGTAATCGAACTGAACTAAAATTCATAATTTCTCTTTTGATCAATATTAACCGTAAACAATATTTAGATTAATAGTGAAAGAAAAACAAAAACTTTTTTTTCTTTTAAATTATAATAAAAACACTCTTGAATTTTTCGTCTCGAATCTCACACAAAATATATATGCATAAAATCTTATATATCGATTTTATTGTGAGTAGTTGTATAACATATAGAAGTTCCTTTTTTTTTCTTTTTTTTGAAGGTTATAATTATTAATTATATTTATTCATTGAGTTCAACTATATTTTTGAAGAATAGAAAAGAGAAACAATATTCTTAACTAATTTAAAATCAGCATGTAGCTAATATTTACTTAAGTTTCATTGTTAAATTCTTATAAAATGATGGATATAGTTATAAGTAATAAAATAATGATCAAATTAAGCAAATTTACAGTACGTATATATTCATTTATTGATTACTGAATACAATGCGTGTTTTATTAATAAAAAGAAAATGTTTACAGTAGAAAAAGCACGACAATATAGTTCTTTTTTTCCTGTGCATTTTGAATAGATGAAGGTCTGTCAAAGGAAAAGCAATGGTAACAACCGTCGAGTTTTTTTTTTTTCGTTCTCTTTCTTTTGGTGGTTTTTAAATGGCTGTTTTACTATTACACACACACACACGAACGTCTTTTCTTTTAACACACATTAGTCAAAGGACGTTTTAAGACGAGACAAAATGATTGTGTAGTATGCCTAAGACATTTTTTTTTTTGTTATTGTTATTATTATGGTTCTTTAATTTTTATAAAGATAGACATATGGATAAATAATAACAATTTATTATAATGATTCATAACGTCATAAGATACTTTCTGTCAATGACATAGGAGTATTTTTATCCGCGTTTTTTCTTTTTTTTTTGTTGATGAACATATAAACCGGCATACCACACATAAAAAAAATAGTATGATTTAATTTTCTTAATAAATTTATTTGAATATATATATAATTTATTTATTTTTTTTCATACTATTTTATTTAGGAATAACGAACTGAAAAAAAAAGAATACAAATGTCATCTTCAACATCAGATTCATCTATAAATCCTTCATTATTCGATAAAGTAACCGGTTGTGTATCTTATGTTCAACAAAATAATTATGTTACAAAAAAACGTTTTCATACTCTACGCCAATATTTTTTTCGATCCGTCGGATTTTCTATTATATTATATTGTTTTTGTCAATTAATTATTTTATTTTATTCATTTCTTAAATTAATATTACATTTATTATTTCAAATAATTTTCATGATGATTTTATTTCTATTTAAATTTATTCAATTATTTTTACCTCAAACAACAAATTATAATATATTATTTTTATTAATTGGATTTTGTTCAATCATATCAGTTTTTATTGCAAAATTTTCATATAAAAATATTGAAATACATCTTGGTAAACGTTACAAATTAATAAAACGTTATCCATTTATTTTAACATTGATCACTCTTCTTCTTTTACAATCTGTATTAATTCTTTTACCACTTGGTGTATCTATACGAGAACAACGGAAGTTATCTTCGGTAAAGGAATAGAAATCAATTCTACAGTTACTGATTTTTTTTTGTTAATTAGACTCCGGTTCCTTTCAAGCAACCAGTAATGAAATTACCTGAACAAAAAAACTATTGAAAGTATAGTACAAGTAAACAATTCTATGAATAATTTGGAAAATACCAAAAGAGAATTACATGACGGTAAACGAGAAGAACATAAATCAATTAATAATGGAATAAAACTAAATGAAAATGGAAAAAATCTCGATGGAAAACGAATTGTTAGCCTCGACAACCAGGTATATATAAATATAGATGTCATAGTGACCTAATTCGATGGAATTAGTAGAAGTATAGCTTCTGAAAGAAAGCTTTAAGTTGTCCTTAGAATCGGTTGAATTCCAATTAAAAATAAGACTTGATTTCAATTTACAGACATTATCAGAGATTCTTTTACCTTCGCACAAATTTTCTTTAATTATGCCACTAATATTTCAATGTATTATTTATAGTTGTCTTCTTCTCCTTCTCCTGAAAAAGATTCAAAAATTGAATCCAATGTTGAAGATGATCATTCATATTTAATTAATCATACAAAACAAGGCATAAACACAGATGAAATATCAACTTCTTATGCACACAATCAAGTAAATATCTGAAATTTCATATTTAATATATGTTAAGAAAAAAAAATGTATATATAGGTTTCTCTCGGTGAAGACCAAGGATCAGTATTAAAATCAGGAATAAAATATTTGATCGATCCTAATGACAAAATTAGTTCGAAAGTCCTCAAAAAATCATCTGAATCTATTCAAACAACACCTACAGAAGTATTTCATATAAATTTAACATATATATATATATATACAGTAATATCTTTGTTTTTTTCTTTCTAAAGACTAAAGAATTTCTATCAGATACATTAAAAGAAGAAACAATAAAATCATCTATTAAATCTAAATTTGAAACACCTAGTACATTAATATTTCATGAAAAATTAAATAATTGGCTTGGTGAAGCTAAAAATATTTGGCATCAAACTAAACAATTTTTTTCTTTAAAAACTACACATAAAAAATATTTATCTCGACATAATGTTAGTTCAATCTATACAGCTTATACCGATCTTAATTGTTATGATTATACAAAAATAACTTATACTTATTTCTTACCTAAACAAAAATATATAATTTTTCTTGATACTTATCGTCGTCGTTCACCATTTCCTATTTATTTATCTATATTAAAATCTAATGGACCTCAATGTTATCGTCATTATCCAAATTCATCATGTGCAATTAGTTCAAAATTAGTTTTATCAGATTTAATAGAAAAATTATATCATTTTACAAAATTTTCAATGATTATTATTATACCGATTATTATTTTAATAATTATCCTTAAAAATTTAAAACCTAATCAATATTTAAAAAAAAATAAACAAGTATCGAATGAAAATCAACAAATTATATCAAATAAAATCGAAGATTCATCATCACAAAAAATAGATTCAAATATAAATAATAATCATATATTAGATGAAAAACTTAAAAAAGAATTAAATACATGGCTTGAACATGAAAAAAATGATGGATATCAAAATCTTAGTGAAGCATGTCGAATAGCATTAAATAATACATTTTCAAAAAACAACGTAAGTAATTTCTAGTCGAAATATAAGCCTGGATGTTATCATCATTTGTATATTAATATACGGATGATTAGTTTCCATATTGACTAAATATGTGCTCTGTCATATGTAAGAAGAAAAACTGGGTTTTTCTTGTTTTTCTATCAACGACATATTGTTATTTTCTTTCAAAAATAATCTTTTATGTTTGTATCTAATAAAGCAAACAGTATGTTGTCTTTCTTATAAAAACATCGTCAACTCATAGAGTAGATACAGATTTTTTTTCTTCTTCTCATCATTCTTTTTTCCGTTGCTTTCTGTTTGTGTGCGTAATGATAAATGCACATGAGCGAGACTGTAAAAATAAGAAAAAATATATATATATATATCGAGCGACAAAAAACCAATGATAATTTATTGAGTTTATTTTTTCCGAGTGTTTATATTTATGGTATATGTAAACGATATAAAAAAAAATACTTTGTAGACATTGACAATGACTTCGATTCATCGATCTCTAATCGATAAATTTATTGAATATCAAAATGATAGTTTTCATAAATTTTTTCATCATCTAAATATTTATTCTAATAGCTTTCATTTACATTCATATGAAAGTTCGAATGAATATTTTTTATATTTTACAATATTTATATCTATTATAACAATAATAATTATTCTATTAGTATTATTTGAATCAAATATTTTTTTAAAATTTTATTTATCTATTTATTCTTTTAATAAATATTTATTTTTAAAAATACAAAATAAATTTTTTCAATCAAAATCATCATTATCTATTTTAAATTGGTTATTAAATTCTCCTAATCATATTCAAAATTGTTTTTTTAATGAGTTTCTATATTCATTAAATCGAATATTTATTTATAAAAAGGTATTAGAATATTTCTATTCTATTATCGAATATAATCTTTGTTATTGTTTTGCGATATATATATATACATATATATTGCTTTTTTTTTTTTCAAGGAACAATTGAACATAGAAACATTACAATTTGCTAATGCAAACATTCATGATGTTTCTCAAGCATCAGTTGAAACGATTGTAAATATTTATTTTTATTTTTATTTTTCTATATAAATTCTTTTTCTAAAAAAAAAGGTCATCAATGCAGAACTTGACATTGTTCATTTAATTTTTAATATTGTTAATACAACAAAAGGTCAACATTATTCGATTGAAATACCAAAATTAACTGGTGAACTTCAAATATTTTTAACTAATTATATTAATAAATATTCAATTGAAGTAAAATTTAAACAAATTCAAATTGATCATGCTGAAATTATTGATCCGAAAAATGTAAAAATTTAGAAAATATTTTTGTTTTTTTTTTAAATCATTTTTTTTCTTCAGAACTTATCATCTGATGAAAAAGAGTCAATTATTAAATTATTTAAAGAAACAATTCAACAAACTGTTGTTCAATGTTGTTGTCATCTATCATCAGATGATAACAAACAAACAAATATTATTAATGAATCGAAGATTGTAAGTTTAACAATAAATATTATACTATTATTTAATGGCAATTTTTTTTTTTCATGTTAAATCGAAAAGAGAATAAAAGAGCCACTTGACATCATTGAGAAAACAAAAAATATTTAGTTTTATGAGTATGGATTTATTTTTACAAGATTATTCATGCTTGAAAAAATATCATCATCAAAGTTTATCTTAGGAATTTATTTTCTACATGATGATTATTTCTATTGATATATGTATCACCTTACTTTTATTTGTGTGAAATGACAAACGATGACTGTTCTATAAAATAAAAGACTAGAAATATATTCACGAGAGAATCATTCGAACTGATAATCATCATTTAAGTATACAAGAAAATATTATTGAAAAATCAAAAAAAAAAAAAAAAACAACAAAATTTTCCTCATAGATGCACCGAATGATCTGTAAAATATTCTACAAGTTTCAACTACAAAAAAAAAAGTTTTCTTTTATTGAGATATTGAGTTTCCTATGAATAATTGCTAGACATAAACATGTTATAAAAAACCGAGTTTACTTTGGAAATTTAATATCTCAACAAATAAACATTATTTTCGATTGAAATATTTAGAATATTCTATAAATTATTAGACTTATATATATATGTGTGTAAAATTTTATATCGCAATTTTTTGCAGTATGTACCAAAAACTACAAAAAATGATCGTAACTCGATTGTAAAAATGAATAGAACGAACTTGTGTAGGCGTTTGCCGATCTCATTAAGATATCCTGAGGCATTCTCATTATGAGATCAAATGACGGATATGAGTTCAAATTATTTCCTCGTTTAGTATTTGATTCGATTGAAGAATTCTCATGAAAAAATAAAACAAATCTTTGTCATCAATTTATGCATTTAACTGACAGTAACAAATAAGAGAAATCGATCTTTTTTTTTGTTTTTTTTTGACATAAACATAAAAATCAAATTGGTTGTTTTTATTTTTTATTGACTCGACAAAAAAAAATGTACATCATTGTAGGAATCATCATTTAAACCAATTACACCTGAACCTTCTAATGTTTATCAGTCATATGAAACTTCTCTTTCATCATCAATTAGTGAAAACAATCCACAAGTATTACCTGAAAAACAAGCAAAAAAATTACTTGTTCGTATTGTTAAAGCTGTTAAATTACACGGTAAAATCTTAATGAAATATATCTAATTTGAAAAACAAAAAAATAAAAAATAAAAAATTTAGATATTGAACAACCATTTTGTATTGTTGAATTAAATCAACCTCGACAAACTCATCAAACAAGTATTGCAAAAAATAGTGTTAATCCGTATGTTTTGTCATTCTATAGAATTAATTAAATTAATTTATTATTATTTCTTTAAGTTTTTGGGATGAATCTTTTGCATTTGAAATTAATGATAAAAGTAATCAAATACATTTAAAAATTATCGATCGTAAAAAACCAAATAAAAGACATAATAATCAAATCGGTTTGTTCATTTATTTTTTTTTCTTTATTTAAAATGTTTTTATTTTTCTTTTCATTCTTGGCTAGTTGATAAAATTTACGCTGATGTGACTATTCCATTTTCTTATATAACAAGTACAATTTATAAACAAGATGTACGAATAACACCTCAACATCCTGATTCAATTGTTCGGATCGAGGTAAAAATTTTATATATATTCTTTTCTACCTATTTTCATGTAACCAACACTGTCGACGATATCATTAGGCTTCCTATTTATTTTTACCTGAGTTTTTTTTTGTCTTCTGTATATACAAGACATTAGACTTTTTTTTTTTCTTCGTCATTACTTTTTTGACACCTACGACTTTTTATGCAATTCTGTTGTTTTTCTCGTCTTCGTACTTGGTATTTTTTTTTTTGACTAAGAGAAGTGATGTATTCGATGATTTATTATTTATTTGAGAATATAAGTGAATAGAGAAAGACATCATAGTTCGAAATGGTGCGCAGTCGAAGTGAAACAAATTTAAATCGAATATTTATCGATTTATGTACAAGTCCTGATGTACGTAGTAAATTTGGTCATCAACGTAATATTCAACAACAATCTAATCGACCTTTACCAAGTTTAAAACCAATTAAATCAAATTCATGTACAAATATAAATGAATTGTCTTCTAATTTAATTGCATCATCATCAATTGAGAATAACGAAAGGGAACAAGCAGATACATTAAATCTAACAACTGTTCAAGCAACATCCCATTTAGAAAATCAATCGATTGAATCTTCACGATTAACAACTACATCATTAGTACCTATGGAATCAACAGGTTTTGCTGTACAAACAACTCCATGTTCAAATCATCATTCATTAGCATTATTTGAAACATTATCAATAAGTCATTTGAAAAAACCTTCGTTACATAGAGAAATTTCTAAAGAAGTTAAAACAAAAATTTCATCATTACCATCAAATTCATCAATTGTATCACATGATCGAAAACATCAAGATTTTCTAAATCGTTTACAAAATCGTCTTAGATCAAGAAAACATTTACGCAATTTTTTTCTCTCTTAACGCAGTTTTTTTTTTACATTACATATATATATTTTTTTTTCTTTTTGTAATTACGTGTGTTTTATTTTTACAAATATGATTTTGAAAAACAATTGCACTTTTATAGTTATATATGACAATTGATTTATTCGTTTCTATATCTTAGGTTTCAACTTTATCTGAAGAGGAAACGTTAGCTAGTAAGTTAATAAAAGTATCATTCTGCTTTTCTATCATGCTTTTATTATTTAACTATTTCGCATGATGTATGTTTTTTTTTTCTCTTACAATATAATCTAATTAGTTAACAATGGATATGATATTGAAAGTATTGATGGTAGTCTAAATTCGTCGAATATTAGACGAGGTATATCTTGTTTTTGCTTTTGTAATGATATTTTTCCTCATTAAAATTTTGATTATAAGATAAATTAATTTTTTTTTATTTATTTAAATAGAACCAAATAATATTCAACATAGTTATCAACGATCACCATCTGATGAAATCATAGCATTACAATATAAAGATAATAGTTATACGAATAATGTAAGTGAAACATAAACGTAATTTTTAAAAAAAAAAAACATTCATAATATTTTTCGAGATTCATTATGTAAAATAAAATACGAAACGATGATGAACGACGAAAAAAACTTGTTTTTTTTCCTCTTGAAATTGGGTACTTAACAAATTGTAAACAGTCATATGGGATTTTTAATGGTTTAGCGACGCAAATTTTTTTTTTTTTCGCAAAAGGAAACCCTGAAACGGAGCGTATATGTCATGAAAAACAGTGTATTTCGTGGAGAATCATCAAACTCTATAAGATTCTTTAATTGTATAGTCAAGGAGAATAGTACCGAATCCTACAGTTGATTTCATGAAGAATTTCACAATATAGATTTCATAAAATGTAACATCCCGGTGATCTGTAACATTAAAACGTTAGTAAAAGTTACAGCACCATTGAACAATAATGGCCCGGAGATGATTTTACGTGTTGTTCTAAAAGACTTGGAATGTAAAGATTCTATATATTCTCGAATATTGTCCGGATCTAAAATTCTCTTATTTCTCATTGATATACATGCGTAATAATATCGCATCATGATACTAATCATATAAGGGCAAGAGAGAATGCCTTAATGACCTAGTAAAAGGTCAAAAATATTTTCACTAAGAAAAATGTCAGTTTCCTTTCTGATGACCTTTCTCTTGAAATCCCAGAAATAGGTGGAGGAATCCTCTCAAATTCAATCGTATCAAAAGAAAAGGGAATACTAATATTATGATTGACTTAATATTGACAAATTTCTTAAGTAATCATTGAATTTAATGACCTTATTTTTTATATGATTTGTTTTAATGTTTCTAATTTTATAAATCTAGAGTCTTAATGTTGCATCAAATTTGTCTCCACAAACAATATCTAATTCAACAATTGATTCATGTTCAACATTAACACCATTATCATCACATATTGATGATAATCAACATGATAAATCTCGAAAATCACGATCACTTATGGGTTCATTTCGACGTTCAATATTACATCGACGAAAAAAAAATAAAAAAAATCAACAAAATGAAAATACTGAAAGTTCAACATTGAATACTACAAGAGAAAGTAGTGGTATTCCACATAGTATATCAGCAGGTAGAATTAATATATTTGTTTTGTACTATTTTATTTCAATATCTAAAATAAAATTTCTAGAACCATGTTTATCTATAAGTTCAACAGATACACCAAAATCACAACGACATTCTTCAATATATCGATCATTTAGAAATATATTTCGATCAAAATCAAATAAAAAATCATTTGGTAATTATGGATTTCTTTTGAAATTTTAATTTAATTATTTTTATTTTAAATAGATACAAGTAGTACTATTTTGGAACATCCTGAATCAGTGATGACATTAACACCAAAACCAAAAAAAAAATCATTATTTCGTCGATTTAAATCAGAAAAAAATAAACAAACTAATGTATCAACTAATTCATTAACCAGTGCTGATTGTACAAGGTAAAATAAACAACAAAAAAAAAAAGACATAATCTTGATTTTTGTTTCTATTAACAAAGATATTTCTTGATCATTTTAGAAACAAAATCTATTTAGTTATTCTAATAATTTATATTGTTTATTGTAGGTCAGAATCTGTACGTAATACACCTATTCGAGCTAATGTTGGTCATCCGGTGACAATAACAAAACCACTTGTTCAATGATTATTGATTGTTTGAACATTGATCCACGTTTGCATTTTTTTCTTTGATTAAATGTGATTAGTTTATTTTATTAAAAATTGTATGTAAAAATTGGCGTGATGAAAATGTCGGTTTTTTTTTTGTTGAATTGTACTCAATGGAATTATATGCAGCAAGGGATATAAACTCTTGTGGCTTAATTCAGCTTGATTTTTTTCAAAAAAAAAAAAAAAAAATAATAATAACAATCGAACAAATATATTAAAAATTCGCAAGTATTTTATATACGTATTATTTCTTTTCTTATTTTTTTTTTCAACATGTCGCCTCTATGGATATAAAGAATTAAAATTTAGCTATAAAATTGGTAAGATTAAAGATTGAATGGTCTGAATGAAAGCTAATAAATAATTTCGCAGTTTTTCATTTTATCTTTTTAAGAAGATAAAGCGTTAGAGTAAATGAATCATTCACAAAAACAAAATAATAATAATAGGAGTGGCGATGTTTATCAGATACTTTAGAAAGACGTTATAAAGTTTATCATAGAAAAAGAATACGAAACAAGTGCGAAACTATTAAGAAAAATGTATACAAAAACTATGATGAAAACAAAAGCAAACGAAAATATTGTTTTTTTTTAATGAAAACATTTGTTATATTATGTTTCGAAATCTTCAAGTATTATACAGTCATTGTCAATGATCATAATCAGATGTGGACGAGTTCACTTTTAGTTCTGATCCAAGGAAGAACAAACTGATTTCCATCACTGAAAACTAGTTTCTATCTTTTTCTATGATTTAGAATGATTTTAATTGATTTCTAATGGTTTCTGACGGTTTTCGATAACTTTTAACCTATTCAGTCATTATTCGGATTTTTACCGTGTTATAATGATTTATAGTATAGAAATTAGTTTATTCCTTCTTCCTCCTTGTTTCTATCTGAAGTATTGTTGAGAATGTTCTCTGATTTGAAGTGAGTTGTTCAAAAACTTTTTATTCTGTAACCAGTAATGGTATTCTCAAAGTAGATCAACATTTTTTGGGCAGTTCAGCTTTAGAAACCGATCTGTTTCAACAATTTATCAACTTACGAGGAAGCCTTGACAGATGTTACCCTCCGATTTTAATGAATTTTTGTCTATAGATACTACAGAGTGCCCTAGTAAAAACTCTAAAAGGATTTGGGATCCTAGAGCTTTCTTCAAAAGTTATGAATACTTTAATTCTACCCCTATAAGGCATAACATACAATATTTAAGAGAGGGTTCATCAGGCCAGCTGCTGCTAAATATATTTTTTTCTATCTTTTATAGCAAATGAAAGATCGTATTGGGAAACTTATAAATCCAATATATCAAGTTATTGTGAAGTATTTATGAAAAATGTCAAGGATCACAATTACCGAATTTTTTGCTTCTTTGAGCCAGGATAGGTCTTAAAAAATGCAGAACTTCAAGAGCTTACAGAAACTCAATTCTCTTTTTTTTGCAATAGCATAACTTGACGAGATTCGAAACAAATTACAAGCAAAAGAACAACCATGAAACATAGACCCCCTTCTTTTGTGGAAGTTCATTCATTTACTAAAACTTATTATCACATTCTGTAGAAAATTCTTTTCTGTATCTTTTAGAACCTCTCCTGGCTCAAAGAGGCGATTAGAGATAGAAAAATTCTCAAAAAACCTATCAAAACAGTAAAAAATCATATTTTTAATTTTTACGGTCTTATCACAAAAAATTCGATAATTGTGATCCTTGACATTTTTCATAAATACTTCACAATAACTTGATATGTTGAATTTATAAGTTTCCCAATACGATCTTTTATTTGCTATAAAAGATAGAAAAAAATATATTTAGCAGCAGCTGGTCTGATGAATCCTCTCATAAATATTGTATGTTATGCCTTATAGGGGTAGAATTAAAGTATTTATAACTTTTGAAGAAAGCTCTAGGAACCCAAATCCTTTTAGAGTTTTTACTAGGGCACTATGTAGTATCTATAGACAAAAATTCATTAAAATCGGAGGATAACATCTGTCAAGATTCCCTCGTTAGTAGATGTGAACTTATGAGTTTAAACTACTCGATCTCTAATCATCATAGCATTTTTTATAAATGAATAATATACAAAAACTTGAGTTTACTTTGATATTAAATTTGATATTGGATACAAGTTTTAAAATCATGTTATGAATTTATGATTATGATTATTATTATTAGGTTATGATAACTGATAATGACTGTATTATGATCGAAAATTCCAAAATATAATATACAAAACGTTTACATAATAAAAATAAATACATAAAAATCCACTCACATCTTCTCTTCTTGTTTAATTTTGACTAAAATTTCGAGTACTCAATAATCTATAAACCACGGTAGTTTTACGCATATCGCAATAATCGGTTGAAAGTAGGAATGTATTGTGTTAGTAAAAACACTGATACTGACGTTGACAAGAACTCCGATAATTCTTATATCAAACTTTACTGAGGTACTGCTTGCACTAGACATCGAAGTTCAGCAACACATTGAACCATAGACTCTGTCAACCTACGTAACTTTTGTGCTCAATGAATGCGCATCTACCTTTCTTGAAAAATATCGTAAATTTGATGCATCTATTATTTCGAATAACAACACAGAAATACATCGTTTCTACATCTAATCTTAATATATAAGTAGGTGTGGCTTACCTCCTGACTCACACTATAATTCTATCGTCCAATTAATTATATGAAGGTTAAAGAAAATGGTTAGAAGTAAAAGAAAAAGGTAAAAGAACAAAGAATAGAAAACGATAGGTAAACCACGACGTATATTCTATGACGACAACCGCATTATTCGCTAATGAAGCGTAACATTGAATAGAATTGGCTTTACAAAAAAAGTCTAATCATCTATGAAGCAAATATATCTTCTTCCAATAAAAACATCCTGCATATCGAGAGACATCATAATACTCTCATATAAATTTTAGTCAATGGAAATTAGAATCAATGTATTAGTGGTTCAGTGAACACTGATGTCAAGGTTATGGAGATTTTCTACTGAATATCAATGTAGGTGTAATCATAGGTTTAGTAAGTACTGATATCAAAGCTATCGGGAGTATATCAGAATTGTACCACCTGAATTTTGACAATTTTCCATACAGTTACCATTCGAGTTTAATAAACATCATCGTCGACGATCAGTAAACTGAAACTGTATATCTCTAATCGAAAGATGTTGTTTTACTGTAATTCTTCTCCTTGAATTTGAAATCATGAACGTACACAAGTCGCTGATACTAATCATATCGGCTATTTTCCCGTCAGTTTACGAGTTTGATTCTTCTTTCAAAATGGCTTTACAAAAAATAAAAAAAGAAAAGAAAATCATTTGAAATTCTTGATTTATAAAAACAAAAAAAATACTCAAAAAAAAAGAAAAATGACATTGATTTAAACAGTCGTATTTTCAAGTGTGAGCAATGTAAAAAGGACAGGTAAAAAACGTTGATAATGTTCCCATGGTGTCCCATGAAATGTTATTTTTGGTTCCGATTTAAAACCACGATAAAGACATAAAAATTCTACAAAACCTAATTTTTCTTCTAAATATGTTCGAAGTGTATTTATTTTTACTGTACGTGTATCACGTTGTTTAGCAATAGTTAATAATATATCAGTAACACTTTCATCCCAAACCGGTGTTATTATTGATTTATTAATAAAACCATTTATTGTTGTTGATGATGATGATATAACATCATTTGATAATGAATTTGTTGGCGATGATAAAGCTGTACCACTATCATCTTCTATTGTTGTTGTTGTTGTTGTAACAGATAGATTAAGTGGTTGAATTAAAGATGATTGTAATCGTTTTGAATTACTTTGTAATTCATTTCGTTTTCCATTAGATATTAATTCATTTACATTTGGAGATGATGATTGTTTAAGAAGAGTAGCATGTTGTATAGCTTTTTGAAGTATTTGTTCAAGATTTTTACCAGCTGCTGTTGTTTTATACCTATAATAAAATAAAATAAATAATTTTTCGATATTAGTTTCTTTTTTTTGTTTTTGTTTCTAACCAAATTGGATGAATATTTGTTGAACGTGGCACAAGAAAAAATGGTGATTGTGGTGTATTGCATTGTGGTGGTCGATGTGTTGCATAAAGTCGATAAGCTTGTACTGGACATGTCAAAATATTATGTGGTGTTGCATAAAGTCTAAAAGAAAAAAAAAGATTTCTTTTGTTTATTTTTTCGTTTATTGATTTCATCTTACCTAACTGTTTGATTTTCAATTTTATGTTGATGACAAATAAGATATTGTTCATCAATTAATGATATATCACCCCAAAGTAATTGTCCTATTGATATTTGACATAATTTTGTTATATGAACATATATTTCAAGTAATAAACCATCAGGTTTTGTTCGATCAAATATAGTTAAATGTTTTGTATTTAATAAATTTAATGATGATTGTTTTAAATGATTTGTTAAACCTAATTTTTTCCATTCTTCACGTTTATTTATAATAACTTGTCGACATGATTGAAATAT